TGTGTGTGTGTGTATATATATATCACATTTTCTTTATCCATTTATCTACTGAAGGGTATCTAGATTGGTTCCACAGTTTAGCTATTGTGAATTATGCTGCTATAAACATTGATGTGACTGTGTCCCTGTAGTATGCTGTTTTTAAGTCGTTTGGTTATGGATTGAGGAGTAGGATAGCTGGGTCAAATGGTGGTTCCATTCCCAGTTCTCCAAGGAATGTCCATTCTGCTTTCCAGATTGGTTGCACCAATTTGCAGTCCCACCACCTATGTAAGAGTGTGTCCTTTTCCCCAGATCCTGGCCAATACTTATTGTTGTTTGTTTTCTTAATAGCTGCCATTCTAACTGAAGTGAGATGATTTGCATTTCTCTAATTGCTAGAGATGTTGAACATTTTTTTCATACATTTGTTGATTGATTGTGTATCATTTTTTTGAGAAGTGTCTATTCAGTTCCTTGGCCCATTTATTGATTGGAGCCTCTTCAACAAATGGTGCTGGGAAAACTGGAAATCCACATGCAACAAAATGAAATTAAATCCCTTTTTCTCACTGTGCACAAAATTCAACATAAAGTGGATCAAGCACCTAGGAATTAAACCAGAGACCCTGCACCTAATAGAAGAAAAAGTAAGCCCAAATCTCCATCATGTCGGATTAAGCCCTGACTTCCTTAATAAGACTCCTATAGTGCAACAATTAAAATCAATAAATGGAATGGATTCAAACTCAAAAGCTTCTTTTCAGCAAAATAAACAATCAGTGAAGTGAATAGAGAGCCTACATTTTGGGAGCAAATTTTTACCACTTGCACATCAGCTAGAGCACTAATCTCTGGGATATATAAAGCACTCAAAAATTTTAACACCAAGAAAGCAAGTTTTATTTAAATAGAACAGAGATGGACTTTTCTGCAGAGAAGGGGATCTAGAGCTGGTATCTGAGGAAGTAGGGGTGTCCTGCCCCTTTTATAGATTTTAGAATTCCTTTTTTTCTCTTGGCCTCCCCTGCCCATCATCTGTGACTAGAGACCTCAGGGAGCAGCCCTGGAGGCATTCATTAACAGCCTGGTGTAGGGAGGAACAATTCCCTGGAGGCAGGTCACCTTGACAACAGGTTGCAGCAGGGGAAAGGGCTCTGGGGGTATTAGCATTTCATTTCCTTCTGAATCAGCCCCCATCTTTCTGACCCAATCATTTATTGCCTATACTGTCTGTCTTTTTGTCCCCCAGCCTCACTTTAATAAGCTATTTTTTCTTTGGATTCTCTTTTTGTGTATTATTTATGTAAATATATACAAGTAATGAATAAGTATGTGTAGTAAAAAAATAATAGAAGTTTGAAAATTTTTAAAAAGCAACTTTACTTTCCTTCTATTCAATAGTGCATTTTTTTTCCAATAGTGTATTTAAATCAAACTTTCTCCGGGAAGGTTTCCCGCCCCCCTCAGTTAGCCAGTATAATTCCTAAAGTCCCCCATCTTTAGTGTTTTTCTAATTGTAATTTCTTTGAGGATGGAGTTGTGTTGCAGTATATACTGTTCTCCATTCTGTAGGCATGTTCAGTAAGGTCTGGTTGACTAGTGATGGTCTGATTTCCTCAAAGCCTATTTTGAAGTCTGATGGAACAGCACTAACCCTCCAGTTGATTTAGCCAAAACCTTGGCCATGACTAGCACATCTTGGCTATGAGGGCAAGGTGGCTGCAGTTGCTGCCATCCTGTTGCTCTCCAGGTCTGAGGTTGCTGACTATTTGGGGCCGGGCCCTTTCTGTGTACATCTTTCCCCAATCAGCTTTCTTGTTCAAGGAAGAGGCCCTTCTCAGTTTGAGTTGCTGCCTCTTAGTATTATCTGTATAGTTGTACTTCCTTGCCAGAACCATCATACATATTCTCAAGAGCTCTCAATCTTGTTAAAAACCATAAAGGATGGGTAGCAAAAAAAAGAAGAAGAAGAAGAAGAAAATAAAGGACTGGGAGGAGAGGGAAGGAGGGAAAAAAAGAGGATAGGAGAATGGAGATTCATGGCCTTTCAGTGCAGTAGGTTGCTCAATTCTACCTAAAACATCTCCTGCACTCAGGACCTACCATTGCACATGAAATTACTTTGCCAGGGAAGTCTACACAGACACTGATTTTTTTTCACATTTTTATTGGTGCATTATGGTTATACAAAATGATGGGATTTGTTGCTACATTTACATGCACACTATCACCCCCAGCACTTTCCCCTGCCTTCCCATCTCCCACCCCTTGATCCCTTTCCTAAACTCATCTCCCTTTAATAATCATGAGATCCAGCCCACCTTTCTTTTCCTTTATTTTTTGTTGTGTTTTTCTTTCTAAAGGGCTTATGCAACCCTGGCCACACTGGAAGTCCTATAGGTTAGAGACTCTACTGACCTCTAGTAAAGACTGCTGTCATTGCTAGAGATTTTTCCAGGCTTGTTACAAGGATCAAATGAGAGAATATATGTAAATATGCGTTATAAACTATAAAATAATATTTGAACCCTTGATGTTCTTTTTGTAAGCTCTGGTGGGCCCTGACAGTAGATTAATGTTGTACGATATTGTTTTTGTGGGATTTTGGAACAGCTATCCTATACCTGTGTCTAAAGAGAGCCAGATCCATCTACAGAATGAAGAAAATGAGGTCTCTGAGAGGGAAAAAATGAGTGGGAGGCACCTAAACTGTGTATGTCAAGGGAGTGGTTGTCCCGTATTTCAGAAAAGCCTTGGGTTTTCTGAGTGTTCTCTGTTGGTTAAAATTATTTTCCTTAAGAGTAATTCCCAAGAAAATGCTTGTGATTTCACTATCAATGAAACTGTTCACACTTCTTTTAAAGCTTCCATTAAGTTATGGTAAATGACAGTGTGAGATCATGTGGACCCCATATGAGTGTGTTAAGTTTGCAGTATTATCTATTTCTTTATTTTAGTTGTAGAGGGACACAACACCTTTGTTTCATTTATTTATTTATATGTGGTGCTGAGGATAGAACCCAGTGCCTCACACATGCTAGACAAGTGCTGAGCCACAACCCCAGCCCCTGGTTGCACTATTTTAATAACTACCAAATTAAATCACTATTAGAAAGTGACTAAAAAGTAAACTGTTGCTGTTTTGCTCCTTCCATGAAAACAACTCCTTTTTCTTTTCAGCTTCCCCACATGAGACGCCATATCAGGTCCTCACCTGGATGCGTGACTCTTCAACCTCAGGACTTGCAGAATTAATGGAATGCCGTCCTAAGGTTGTTGAGTTATGCGTTTCTAGGCATTTCATCTCTACAAAGAAGCAGCCATTCCCTTCCCCCAAAGACTAAGGCTGAAAGATTTTTCTCTCTAGGAAAGAATCTTCCTTGTCATATTTGTGGTCTCAGCAGTCAGAAAACCAACTGGGAAGGCTTTGTAGTTGGGAGATACTTTGTCAAGAACCTGACCCTTGGCAGTCAGGCTCCCTTAAATTTGCAGGCTTGGAGGTCCCTTGCAGGGCCTGTCTTAAAAGAGTAAATATTTTCTATTAATTTTTAGTGACTTAATTTTCCATTTTTTTTCTAATAGGTCCAGTTAAAAACAAGAAAAAGGGTAAGTTAAGCTCTTGATTTAAAAAATTGTCTTGTCATGTCTTTTCTAAAGTTAGAAGAAAAAAAATCAAGGGAGTAGGATTTTTGTGTTAATTTCTTTCAACATTGTTTGTCTATTATTTATTCAATCACCTATGATGTGTATGAGCATTGTAGTTTTTAAAGAACAAAAAAAAAAAATGGTTCTTCAGTAGTGGTCCATGAAAAATAAAACTGATTCTCTAGCAACATATAAAAATTGTTTTTGTTTTTCTTATTGCTTTCTTCACACAGGGCCTCGTGCATGCTAGAGCAAGTGTTCTACCCTGAACTACATCTCTGGCATATCCTCATCCTTCCTTACTCTTTCCCCTGCCTTTCCTTTTTCTCTGTTGTTCCCTCCTTTATCAAATCAGTGATTATATATGAATGAAGACCTGAAGTGCTTATAAGGAAAAAGGTACACTACCTATGGAAAATGTCAATATTTTGGTTTTGGGCCTAAATCTCAACCTATTCAATTTCCCAGATACTCAGGGAAGATATGTCTTATTTGTAGGGATTCTATATCCTTTTCTCTATGATGGGAAAACTAGACTATAGTGTTACCCTGATCCTTCAGTCTTTCCAAAGAAACTTCTAGTTGGGCAGCTCTGTTGTACTGTTTCTGGGCCAATAAGTCTCCATTGTTCCTGAGATGAGACTGGCCCAAGGGCTGGTACAAATGCTCATTTACTTGAAGAGAAGCATCCAAAGACAAAACAAACTCCAAAGAAAGGACTAGGTGATATGATACACTCCTTATGTCTAAAAAAAACCAACTATGAAACTAGTATATTAGCTTGTTTCTGGGTTCTGGCCTGAGGGGATGATAGATAATGTAAAAATAATGATTTTTCATTTAAATGCTTCAAGTGAAATGACTCTATTGAGATTTATGGAACTTTCTAGAATAGGTTATCAACCTCAGACTGAGTCAAAAAGACTGGCTTCAGGTACAGTCTGCCACTTCTGACTGCCAGGGTACTTTGCTGCCTTGAGGTACTCAGGACCCCATTGTAAATTTGTTTTCCTTTTGTAACGAAACTGAGGCCCCCAGAGGACCTCAGCTGAGCAAAATTAGAAAAAAGCAGGAGACTGGAATCAGCGAAGAAACCTTTCTCTGTGGGACCTGTGCATTCATCACCAACATACTTTTTTTTAATATTTATTTTTTAGTTGTAGTTGGATACAATACCTTTATTTTACTTATTTATTTTTATTTGGTATTGAAGATCATACCCATGGCCTCACACATGCTAAGCAATCACTCTACCACTGAGCCACAACCCCAGCCCACCAACATACTGTCTTTTAAGAAAGTAAATTTGGTCTTTAAATGTTTAGTTCTTAACTCTTGTCACATCCCTTTAAGACAGAAATTACAATTCGGATCATTGCCCAGCACTGCTACCTCGTGTATGGGACATTATTGAGAAGAAAATGCACATGAGCTTTAAGCATTTACTTTAGCTGAAAGTGATTTAGAAGCTATTTAACATGGATTTCCTTGGACACAGTGAATAGGCTCATGCCTGAAGAGTTAAATTGAGTTATTCCCTTAATTTTCACACTTTAATGGAATTTTCCTACTTCTATAATTCATTCATATTCTCATTCTCTCTCTCTCTCTCTCATTTTGGTTGTGATTTCAATATTTAGGGATTTGCTAAAATGTTAGGGAACTGTCCCTTTGATGAAGTTCAACTTTGAAAGGAATATGCATATTCTTCTAGGACTACACAGGGTAACTTTCTAAGCATGAAAGTCTCTAGACTTTTGTATCATGAAATATTCTGTTAGGAAATCTGAAGAAGGAATTCAATCATCTAAAGTCAGCCTCTGGTCCAGAGGTCATTTTGAACATGCTCTTCTCTGGGCCTAACTTTCTATAAGTATGCAAGTATGAGAAGCACACTTGCCTGATTGCAGAGAGGCAGAGAAGACCAGCTGCACAACTAGATCACAGCAGGAACTTTTTCTCAAATGCCTTCTAACATTTTCATAAGTGAACATTCTCTGTTTACACTGCAACCATTATTCTCTTGGACTGGAGGAGTTTCTGGCTGTAATTCTTCCAAAATTACATTAAGCAATTACAGGAGACTCACATTCTTGAAGCTGAAGTTTTTGCTACCCACAGAACACCCTCTAGCTGGAAAAATCTCTGTTAGGCCCCAAAATGCTAGGATACAGGATGGTCTAATATGCACCATCCTCTGTGTCTACTCCACCCAAAAATAATGAAAGAGAAGCAAGTCTTACAACCAAGCTAGGAAAGTTTCCTGGCTGCTAAGGGTAGGTCAGTCCTCCTAGGGAACCTTAGTCTCAGGAAGAAACTTAAAGAAATCATTGAGGCCAACCTCCTCATTTCACCGATGGAGAAACTAAGGCTCAAGAAGAGGAAGGGATATGCCCAAAGTGTGACTATGGCAGAGCTGGGGCTTACATTCTTATCTCCGGAGTACAGATTCCACTTCTTTCCACTACACTAGCTAGAATTGAAACTTGGGCGCTGAATAAGCCTGATTTGGAAGCTGTCCAAATCTGAAGGGAGATGGTTTTCCTGTTCAGCATCTTAAAATTGGCTAGATGTAGAAACTGAGCAGATCCAATCTTCTGCTGCTAAGTTCAGGGAAAACTCTAAAGCTCAGACCTCTAGGTCTTTAAGGCTACAGGGACTCTGGGAGAGATGCTCTCCACACCTTCCTTTATTTAACTCCCTGGAGAAGAGGCTCCCCAGTGATCTGTTCTTTCATTCCAAATGCAGATGTGGATAAACATGGACAGTTGGCCTCTTGAGTGGCTTTGTCATGAGGATTTGGTTTCTTGGACATGAGGCATTATTTTCAAAGGAGGACCTGATAAGTCAGGACAGGATTTTTCAGGCTGAGTCTGATGAGCAGGGAGTTGGAGTCAATATGAAGATTTTAAAGACAGGGTTGTCTTTAAAATTAAACTACCTCAGCTGAAGGCATTGTGGTGGAGTCTTGTAAAAGGCTTCCATTCCTGGGACTTCCACAAAATTGTGAGAGGGTGGTAAAGGGAAGAAGAAGACACTGACTTCTGAGTGACTAGCTGCAGTCCTCAAGTGGAGCTGCTCAAAGCAGAGAAGTAAACAGAAAGAGCTGGAGGCTTGGGTTTAAGTCTCACTTAGCATGACTACATCCGGGTGGAAATGTTGGAAGGACAAGAATATGAAATAGGAGAACTGAGATTGTTCTGGAAATATAGTGAGGACATTATAGTGATTATAATGAATAATACATTTGAGAATAGGGCCTCTGAGAAAAGACTCTGGGAAGTTGGATTATTTAGCATACGAAAAATAGAGATTGATGGGTAACCTAATGTCTTTGAGTGTATAAAGGTTATTATGTCAATGATGCTAACTATTCTTCTCTGTCTACACAAAGGATGGAATAAAAGTTTAAGCTGCCATAGGAGGGATTTCAGTTATATCTACCAAAGAACTTCCTAACAGTGAGCAGTGAGGGGTGATAAACATTGGAACATGTTACCAAGGGAGTTTGCAGAATTTCCTTTCCCAGAGATCTTTAAAAATAGAGTTTAGAGAGGTCAGCTGAGAAAGCAATGCCTGCTGCCTTCTCCTCAGTTCTCTCTACTCTGCCTCCCCTTACTTCCTGTTGTTTCTCAATATCCTCAATCGCTCTTAGCTCCCTCCCTCCCTCTTTCCCTCTCCTCCTTTCCTCCCTCCCCATCCATTTCTCATTCCCAGCTAGCACTGCCCCCATCTCCATCCCCACCCCCATCTCCTGCATATCCTGACTCCAGTAAGTGTCTTCCCAGAGCCAGTGGCATTCCTGAGGTCAGGCTGTCCAGCTTCCTCTTGTCATCCACATCAAATCCACCAAACTAGGCAGTTAACATGAAAGTCCCACACTCTTCAACAATGGCCCAGTTCTGTAAAGAACCACAAAGTGACCCATAGGTCTGACTGCTTGGTAGTTGTTGTCCTTTGGACTCAGCTGAATTGTAACCTTCTCTTTGAAGACTCCCCTGACCTCTTCAGCATTTGGTCCTTACCATTAATGTAGCACTCCTACTATTCTGTGACTATTTCCCCACTAGACTGAGCTCCTTGAGGGCCATTTATTTCTGTATTTTCCTATCCAACTGAGAGAAGGGGTAGGGTATGCGTGATAAAAGTGTCTAGCTCTTTAGCAGGAACTCCCAGCCAGAGGGCTGACTTTATGTCATTGAAAGTCTCTAGAACTCCTGACAATATATTCCTGACAGTGCACTCTCAGTAGTAAATAACTACAAATGTAACTCTGATTCTTTTTTTTTTCCAGGAAAGAAGGCAGGGCCGCCTGGGCCCAATGGTCCCCCAGGACCTCCAGGACCACCAGGACCTCAGGGACCCCCAGGGATTCCAGGAATTCCTGGAATTCCAGGAACAACTGTCATGGGACCACCTGGTCCTCCAGGTCCTCCCGGTCCTCAAGGTCCCCCTGGCCTCCAGGGACCTTCTGGTGAGTTCTCCTATCTCTTCACCCCCCAAGCACCTTATCAATACTTTTACAGAGCAAGAGAGGGTGATCCTGAGAATGGTTTCAAATAGTGGTGATGGGATTGATGTGCAATAAGAAATGCAGGTCTCCTTTCCCAGTGTAGAGCTAGGAACTGGACAAGCCAAAAGAGTCTGGCCTACTCTACCTTCTTGTTTGTACCGACCTGTCAATGACAGGCTACCTGATCTTGCCCCATGTGAAATCTTCCGTCACAATATCCCTTGATTTTAGGCCTCCCTATAGTGTACTAGTAAATTTACATGAGCCAGAGAGAGGGGCCATGATTCATTGGGGTTCCTGTGGAGGATGGAATTGGTCTGCTCTGATTCCCAGCATCTAGCTCCACATACGGATGCTTGCATGAAAACAGACTATAGGGAGAGATGTTGAAGGCTGGAGGGTAGTTTCATCCCTTGAACTCTGAGGTGCCTTTCCTATAGATGTAGAGAAGTAGTCACTGATGGTTAAGTAGCTGGAAATTTATGAGTCGCTCAGACTATGAATCCAGCAGACCAAGGCATCATGGCCATCCTGTTCTGCAACAAAGTGCTACTTGCACTAGATCCTTATCCCACAATACTGCCCAAATGCCATTTCATCCCTTTGCATCTTTTCCCTGGGGCCCAGAAGAGCAGCCAAAAGGTATGGCTGCAGACTCAGACCTGCCTAATTGGAGTTGACAGGAGTCAGACTGGACTTAGGTCAGTAGTTATCTCTTTCTCCTGCTCACTTCCTGTACCTTGTGGTTGAAAGAAATGGACTTTTTATAGCCAATTTCTCTAGGTCTGAGAATTCAGCAGCAGGACTCATATTCTTTAACTTGGAATTCAAATAGGGCTAAGCAGTGTTACCATGGCCACAAAAGACAAAGCTGGTTTTTAATCCAATCATTCCACAAATATTAATTGAGCACTTTCTGTGTACGGAGAAATACATTGCTGAGTGGTCCCTGTTCCTGTAGAGTTTATGTCCTGGAGGAGAAAGAGACAATTAAAGAAACCAGATCTTTATAAATGGTTATGGGCTCCATGAAGACTATTAACAGACAGCAAAAGAGTAAAGAAGCAGGTACTGTTGTCTCCTCCGTTACATAGGGACAGGGATACCCTCTCATCACTCTCCATGGGTGCTCAGTGGGGCTTACCTTAGGCCTGTATTGGCAGAGGCCAGCTTCCCTGCTGGACGCCATGCCAACTGAAGATGAAGTTCAGGGACAGAAAGGAGAAAGAAAGGGCATCCTCTCACTTCTCAGGGCCCCCCATTGCATTCTGACTCTCCCCACAGCTCTAAAACTTGGGGAAGAAAGCTCAGACAGGGCTGGCCCCAAGGAGCAAGGTTCAGTGCCACTGGCTGTTGGGTGGGGAAAGGGTAGAAAGAGTACACCCTCTTATTGTCCTGTCCTATTTTGCAGGTGCTGCTGATAAAGCTGGAAGTCGAGAAAACCAGGTTGGCTGGGAATTTCTGTCTTCCTGGGGCAGAGGGAAGGCCACAGGCTTAGAGCAGACTTTCAGGCAGCTCCCTACCAAATTTCCTGAAGCTTTATTTGGTGAGGACATCTTGGAGGTTCTGAGGATTTTCACTTACAGACCCCTCCCATGTCTATGAATAGAAACACGTTGCCCCAAGGCCTGCCTTTAGCTATGGGAACCTGTCTAGACAAGACTTTTTCCCCCTCACTCCACAGGAGACAGAGGGTCACCAGAGCTAGACTCAGTAGTGAATGGAAATGAGCCAACAGTCAGGAATGTTCACCTTGGCCTCCGACTCCCCACATACCCCAGACACCTAGTTGGCATTCAAAGTGCCTAGGAGACAGAGCTGAGGAGTTTAAGAGTGTGTCCTTGAAAACTAGCCAACTACCTCCAGGCCATGCCCAGCCTAGGCTTCTGCCTTAATGACCCAAGGGGCTCCTCCCTAGTCTTTGAGCTTCCTAATCTGTCTCTGTGGGCAGGTTCTGCTGCCTTGCCTGGCTTTGTCTCATCTCAACCACCCTCACTACAGCTGTTTGGCCACTACACTGTTTGGCCACAGTGCACGATGGCTTCGTGGGGCCATTTTATATCCATCACCTCATTTGATCCTCAGACGTCCCCGTGAGAGAGGCCAGAGATTCTTATAATCCCCATTTTTCCCTGTGAGAGAAGCCAGAGATTCTAATAATCCCCATTTTACAGTTGGGGAAATGAGGCTCAGAGGCACTATATTTAGCTGAAGTCACATAGCGTGGAAGTGGCAGAGCTACAAAATTATATTGCCCTCTAGTAGAAATGTAGTCACTAACATCCCAAGATTGGGGAGAGGAATAAGAATTGGGATACAAAAGGAGACTAGAAATGAGGGATAGAAACCTGGGAACCGTGGCAGAGTGAGAAACTATTACAGTGACTACTCTTTATCTTTTTCATCCTCCCAGCCAGCTGTGGTGCATCTACAGGGCCAAGGGTCAGCAATTCAAGTCAAGAATGGTAAGAATCAAAGTAGGCTGCCTCCCTGAAAGGAGCATCTCTCCTCCCTCATCCCCAGCCTCCAAATAATTGTCCAGCCTAGTTCCTCCCAGGCCTATGAGGTACCCTTGGCATAGAAGGCTATTCTCTACTCCATCATGCCCTCTACTGGCTATCCACAGTAATGGCTTGCACCAAGATCAATTGCTACACCTAAATTGCATTTAGAATTCACTGATGAGGGAGCTGAAAGGGACTTGAGACATCATCCACCCAGATATTCTTGAAGGATGGAGTCTATATCAGAGTCGCCATAGAGATATGTGTAGTTTGATAAACACTTTCACAATACAAATTCGAGATGGGAAAACTACATAAAATTGAGCTCTTCTTGTGTGATCACTCTAAAAAGAGAATGAGTGGGGGTGCTTCTCAGGGAATGAGGATTATGTTAGAATCCCTAGGGAGTATGAGATGCTAGTGTCTACCAAAAGGGAGAACATGTTTAATGAGGTTGAGGAACACTGCTTTAATGTAACCCCTGCATTTAAGAGATGGAGAAATAGCTGGGTGTGGTGGCACATGCCTGTAATCCTAGGGACTCCAGAAGCTAAGGCTGGAGGACTGAAAGTTCAGGGCCAACCTCAGCAATTTAGCAATGCCCTGCAACTTTAAAAGATCCTGTCTCAAAATTTTAAAAAAATAAAATAAAATGTAAGGGCTGGGGATGTGGCTCTGTGGTTAAGCACCCCTGGGTTCAATACCTGGTACCAGAGAAAGAGAGAGAGGGAGGTGGGGAAACAGAGTCCCATAGGGATTGAATAATACCATAATAATGTATGTGGCTTATGTTTGTATGGTACTTTAGAGTTTTCAACATGCTTTCTTTGTTTTTTATTTCATTTGACCCTCACAACTGCCCTATGAGGTAGGTATTAGCATCTTTCTACAGAGACAGAAAGCAAAACTCAGAGAGGTTAATTAACTGGCCAAGATGTCATAGTTTTTTAGGAGCTGAGATTTGAAACTGTTTGCCTGGCTCTTTGTACTATGTTATGCTCCTTCGGTGATATGTATGTCCACTCCACTGAATGATTAGGTTAATTTTCTTCCCCAAAGAGACATGAACATTCATTAAAGAACAGCACTTTGAAATAATGTCCAGTCCCCAGGGTGCCCAAAGCCTAAAATGCAAGAACCCCCAGGAGCCTTAGGAAACAGCAAGCTAGCCAAGATGCCAGATGCTTGCAGAGCTTGGACTGAAAGGGAGGGGTTGTGAGTATGGAGACGGTAAATGAAGGCCAAGAAACCTGCTATATGGGGACAGCTTTTAAGAGCCCAGTCAGTCCTGAACTGGTTGTGCTGAGTTTCCTTAATGATTGGACTTAGCTATTCCCCTTGCCTGCCACCTGGATGTCTGACTTAATAGCCTCATAAGCACAAACAAAAAAAAATGAGCAGAATGGCACCAAAATCCTAGCAGTCCTGCTGGGGACCAGGTGCCATGGGCCCCAGGGTCTGGAGTGGGCCATGATTACCATCTGTCCAGGGAGGACAGGGACACATAGGGAATAGATTTGTTTGAGTGTCTGGAGTGATGGCCTTAGTATTTATTCTGTGCCAGCAGCTACTGATTTTGTTTCTGCTAACATATAGCAAGACTGTTTCCAGCCCCCCTTGGCCACTCCCCAGTAGTTGTCCATGCTGACCTTTAGTTCCACCAGAAGAAGTGAGGGAGTCAGAGGTGACAGGAGATCATCCAGAGTAGTGCACTGAAGAGATGGAGCCAGGGCAACTCCTCCTAACTCCATCCTATGTATGTATCACCTTGAGGAAACATGGCCACCTATTCCAGAGGCCTCTTTCCTCACACCTCGGAGAGGCAGCCTCCTGAGACTGACCAAGGATGGATATTCAAAACATAATTTCTTGGGTGAAAAATGGATGGCTGAGAGGGGGAAAAGGCTCCATGAGCTTGGGTTCCCTCCACTCCACCCTGTCATAGTAGGAAGTAATATCCCTTTTTCTTAGGATGAAAAAAGGGAAGTTTTCTTCTACCCTCATGTGCTGGCTCCCCCTGACTGGGGTAGAGCCAAGAGGTAGATGCCTTGCCAAGGGTGCCTCAACTCCCAGACACCCTCCCCTATCCTTCTGGCTGGTCTACTGCAACCTGGCAGTCTATCCCTCACTCTCTTAAAGATCCCTTGCACCTATGGGGCTTGATTACTGGTGGTCACTAGCTCCAGTTGACATGGAGTCTCAATCACCTCTGATCCATAAATGTTCTCCAGATAGACCATTCATTGGGCTAAGTAATTGCCTGAGGACCCAAGGAGGCTTTCCAGAAAGGAGTGGGTGTGGAGGAACCATAAAAAGGACTCTCTTAAGGAGGAAAAATCCCATGAACCTATGAAACAGGAGAGGGATTCAGGAGCTATTGCTGGGAGAGTAAAATTGAATAATAAGACCTAGCCTGCCACTCAGTGTCTGAATTTTGCCTGTGCAGGCCCCATAAAAAAAAAAAAAAAAAAAGAAAGAAAAGAAGAGTGCCCACTCTTCTCTTACCACCAGCACTCCAAATTCTAACTGGAAGGTGTTGGTTAAATACTCTTTCAGACAAAAGAATCAGGAAAGGAGGGATGAAGAAAGATAGGCAAAACACAGGGGCTCTGAGGCAGGCCCAGGAGTCCTTTAATAAACGGCACTACTTCCCTGCTTCCAAATGCTCTTCTTAAAGCTTGGCCTCTGGGCCTTCCTAGTCACCTGGGGCAGGGTAGGGGATTGTATACTGTTTGGTATTTATTTCTATTGCCCAGATTATTCTGACATGTACTGACTGACTGCCCTTCTCTCATACTGAGATCTTTCAGGTGGAGTGCTCAATGACTGGTCTCGCATCACTATGAACCCCAAGGTGTTTAAGCTACATCCCCGCAGCGGGGAGCTGGAGGTACTGGTGGACGGCACCTACTTCATCTATAGTCAGGTAGAAGTGAGTACGGTCTTAGGCCTAACTCTTCTTATATCCAGAATGCAGATCCGGTGCAGGCCACATAGGGGCACTATGGAGACAGCCAAGACTATCCATTGGCTAACTTCCTGCTTTGGCAGGCTGGGTGGGGGTGAAAGGGTACTGCCCCGGGGAGGGCATTGTAAGGAGGAATGAGGTGGGGGGGCTGCTTCATTTTTTTTCCTAGCCATGTATCATGGAAAAACTGAAAAGAGGCCCCTCCCACATCCTACTATCTGATTCCCTCCTGCAGGGCCCCAGGCCCTTGTTTTCCCTCTGAACTGTTTGGTTCTACTGCCAAACTTGAACTTGGTCTCAGCATAGTTTTTGAGAGTCAGTTCCAGGGCTGCTGAGAACTGCTTCCCACAACACTGCTAGCTTGGGCATTATAATGAATTGTGCTCCTGCGGACTTTCTCTCCACCTCAAAAACATTTCTGACTCTTTCCTTCCTCTTTCTCCCATTTGTGTCTCTGTCTTTCTGTTTCTGTTATTCCTGCCTCCTTCCTTCTGTCATTCTCCCAGGCCTTTCTCCCTCTGTTTTTTGTCCTTTCCCTGCCCTGGGCCCACTCCCCAGGTCTGCCAGTGCCCATCCACTGCCATTCCCCATTGGGTGCCCCCGCTGGGGGGGGGGGTCTCCACAGAGTTAGAAGTAGATGAGCCTTGAGATTGGGGCTTCTCTGGGGTGGGCAGCAAGCAGGCGGATGGACAGAAGGACTACGGAGCCAACAGATGGGTCTCACAGGAGAGTGGCCAGAGAAGGTGGGTCAATAAGCATTCGCTGGGCACACTGAGCATCCTGGCATAGCTTGGTCCTGACCCAAGAAATAATATAGCACCTGAATACACAGCTCCTAGCTTTCATAAAGCGATTTAGGGTGTCAGATGGTCTCGACCCCTATGGGGCATGTGGGTATGACCCCAATGTCTTACAAACTACATGCCATTTGGTGGTGGCCAATAATCAAAAGGGGATGGGGCATGATGACTAAGGGTAATGCAGATGGAAAAAATTACTTTTCTAAATGTAGGGGAGAATTGAGAGAGGCCCATGCAGGCTAGGAAAATCCCTGTGACACCAAGCCATCAAGCATAGGTTAGTGTCTCCTCCTGGCCATGGGAGTGAAGTTAGGTACCTGGGTTCTGCCCTTCCAAATTTGATATATCATTTGTGGTGGATGGCTCACCATCTTTCTGGATCTGTTTCCTTAGTCATCTAATGGGAGTGTCAAGGGGTCCTGTGATTAGGGAGAGGAGTTTAGTGCTGAGAGGGGCTGCTGCAAGTTGTAGGGGCTTCTGTTAAAGAGCTGAGAAAATGGAATACCATTACTATGACCTCCCTGGGGATCAGTGACTTCTAAGTTTCGTAGCACATAGTCATTGGGGCTTGAACTTGGAAGTTAATTTTTATCTAGAGCATTAATCAAGCACTGATTGAGCACCTAAGGTGTACAGATCACTGTGCTTCATACCAGGGATGGGGTGAGGAGGTGTTGAAGGGGCAAACAAGGCACAATATTTTACCCTCACAGAGTTTGTGACAGGTGTGCTGTTGTAAGAAAGGTCTGCTCAGCCACCTGAGCCCCGTGGAATAGGGGAAAGACAGTGCATGAACCTATCACCCTGCTTCTCCTATTGGCCCACTAGCATGCCTTCAAGTGGCACTGCTCCCTCTACAAGGTACACTGGCAGCTCATCTCAGAGGGTCCTGTCTGGTCACTATAGGGGAGGGCCCCCACCCTCTCTTTCCTCTCTTCCCCAATCCCTTCTTGTTGCCTCTCACCCAGGTTTACTACATCAACTTCACTGACTTTGCCAGCTATGAGGTGGTGGTGGATGAGAAGCCCTTCCTGCAGTGCACCCGCAGCATCGAAACAGGCAAGACCAACTACAACACCTGCTATACTGCGGGTGTCTGCCTCCTCAAGGCCCGGCAGAAGATCGCCGTGAAAATGGTGCACGCCGACATCTCCATCAATATGAGCAAGCACACCACCTTCTTTGGGGCCATCAGGCTGGGCGAAGCCCCTGCATCCTAGACTCCCCCCATTTTGCCCCTGCCCATGTCCCTGCCCCAGGTTTGGGAGCCGGGACTCCCAGAACCTCTAAGTGCTGCTGTGGAGTGAGGTATATTGGCGTTGCAGCCACAGAGAGAAACGCCCCTGTGCTATTTATTCCCCAGTGACTCCAGGATGATAAGGCCTGCTTGATTTTCCAGAATGACTTTGATTTAACAGGACAGTTGATGGAGCCCCAGGGTTTACAGGAAGCAGAAACCTTCTTTGGCTCCTTATTGACTGGCTTATGGCATGACTCTTCAACCCCGAGGTCCCTGTTGTCAGATTTATCATTGTTGCACTAAAATGAGGACCCAGGGCAGTGGACCAGAGAAAGTGAAGGTGCACTCCAGACTCTGGGGGTGACCCCAAGGGTGCTTCTGCTCCTCTCTTGGCTGGGGGTGGGGCAAGGGTGGCATTAGGCTACAGCCTAAGGAGAGAGCCAGGAAGGAAAAGATAGGTGCTGGTGGCAGAGACCAGGGGAAAAACCTGCCAAGCAAGTGTCCTTGGCAGTGGAAGCATTCTTGCTGCTCTGCACTGTGACCTGCAAGAGGGTCAGGGAGCCCTTCCCACTCAGGCTGAGAGCCACACTGTGGCAGCTTTCTGGGCTCCAGAGACGGGAACTTTGCTCTGCCAGGGAACCATTGCAGGAACAGCCACAAACCTGCCTGCATAAGACTCTGAATCCGTACTTGGGGCCACATGTCTCTTTGTTTACAGCTATGCTGCATGCTCAGAAAACTCCCTAGGGTCCCCCTCGCAATTGCACCTGCCCCAATCTGACTAGAACTCCTGTCTTCTTTCTCCACAGAGCCTACCTCTGTCTGAGACAGGTGCCTAACCTGGGACCTGTGCTTATGTGAGTCTGGGATATTCTTTAGCTTACCTGGGCACAAAGAGAAGTTTCCATTTACTAAACAATACAAGTAGTATTCATCTAATTCTAATCAAACTGTGTCTGAGGGCAAGGGGTTGGACTGGATGACCTCCAGACGTCCCTAAGTCAAGTTCTAATATTTGTGACTCTTAGGCAGCTGCCACAGTAGCCTTCTGAATTCCCAAACCCTAGACTGCCCTTGGGCATCAGCAAAGCAGAGTTTTACTACCTGGCATAGAAAGGGCAAGAGATAAGACAGGGGAGTTTTGTCCAAGTTACCGAAACCCAAGTGATCATTAGGACAGGCTTCATCCAAAAGCACAGCAGCCAATGGCCTATTAGAGCTTAGTCACCCCAGAGCCCCTGCTGCTTCACTGAAGTCAGGCTCAGGAGAAGCCAGCATCTGGGTATTGGGCGGGGTTCTGTACCCTAGCTCAGGTCCAAAGGCTCCTTGGCCTAACCCCAAGCTTCCTGCCAGGTCAAATGCTAGGACCATTCAAGGGCCTTATTTCTACCTGCCTGGATACAACCTGGCTTCCAAGTGCTAGGTCCAGGCCAACGCTGTGGGGTCAGCCTTGTACAGTTTGCTCCTCTTGTTCCTAAAATCTGTTTTCTTTTGAGGAGATGGGAATACATTCCTTCAGGCAACTGGAATGTACCAAGAACAACAGGTATTTCTTTCTCAGATGCGCCTCCCCTTCAAGGGTCAGGGCAAGAAGTGGTGGACCAGGCCTCTATTGTCCAGTTGCTAATGACAACCTTGCAACCGGAGGCGGAGGTAAGGCAAGCTACAGGCTCAACTCCTTTAAAGTGCCTTACACAATCTACTAGGAACTGGCAGAACCTCTCAAAGTTTGGAAAGTACTTTCTCTTTTATTGTTTCCTTTGAAGAAGGCAGAGCAGAGAATATCTCAAATGCCATTGTTTAGATGAGGCTCAGAGAGGTGAAGTGCTTTGACTAAGATTTCACCCAGTTTAAGTCAGCTAGGTCTGACTCCAAAATTATTCCCTTACATCATAGAACTGTGTGGAATTGGGGTCTATAGAGAACCAATAAAGGTGATGATATGGAACCAAGATCCTTGAGAGTCTTAGGGAGAGACCCAGAGATGCCCATTTTCATTACTTGATAGTAATCCCAGTTCTCTTGACTGTCAGGGGCTCTTGTAGCAAAGAGTCAAACATCTCTTTGAGAAACAGCCATCAGCCATAGAGGCTGCTGAGAAGAATATCAGCAGCCTCTGGGACCCCACAATGGGTAGCCCCTGATGTTCTTTTCACCCATCTGACAAAACAAGCAGCCATCACAAATGGAGTCCTACTGTGGGCAAAGTCCTCCTTACAGACAGACAGCCACCAGGAGCCCACTGACTCTTCACAGCTACTAAGTGACTCCTTATCTCTTTCTACCAGAACACAGAGACCTTGATAACATCAGCATCTCTCAGGGAAGATTCGAGAGAAGGCTGATTCTAAAGCCAAGTGGGTATGAGGAGAAAGGAGGAAAAAACTTCTGAATTGTACCCCATCCCATTCTCCAGATATGGAAGGGATTGTAGGGAAAGCAGGATTCCCACTGGACCCCACATTCTTTCTGAACCCTCCCTAGAGGGGGAGTGATGGTAAAGGAAATAAGAAATAGCTGGGGAACCTTGTTGTGGTCTAGTCATTGGTGAAGTAGTGAAGCAGTTTACTGTTGGAGGATGTGGAGATAGATTTACAGTTTGGAATTATGATGATGGGAATTTACCAGAAGGCTAAGGCTAGTGTGGAGAATGGGACAAGGACATTGGAGGGGAAGCAGATGACAGGTTTGCAAGAGAATTGCATGTCAGGAGCCTCTGCCAGCTGCTTGGCTTCAACAGCCAAGCTGGTACAAAAGGCAGCTGTGGGAGGCTGCTCAGCTACTGGTTCCCTGTAAAATGTAGCATTTGCCTTATTTCCCCCACTTCATCCATCCTGAGTCATATTTCTTTTGCTTAACAGGAAAGGGCTAGGAACCCTGTATGCACTCACATGTGAGTGTGTATGTCTTCTGTAACTAGAAGATTCAGAGAAATTTAAAACTAAAAAGGCCTTTAGAGGGAATATAGTCTGACCTACATTCCACCCTCTTACTCATGTGGAAACCGAGGCCCAGAGAGGGAAGATGATCTGCCCAATGATGAGCAAGCTCTGAACTCCAGATTCAACAGAGAAAAGGAAGGAGAAGAGCCACCCCTGTTGTACAGGGCCACCTTCTTTCTTCCACCCACCTACTCAAGGCTGGACGTGCTTGGCCCCCTTCAGGAGCCTGGCCAGGCAGGGAGAGGAGAGAGGCAGCCTTCATCAGAACTCTGCTCTGCCCCCCACATACACATTTGCCCAGCTCCTGCCTATGTACTAAAAGGTTCCAGATTGGCCCAGTACCAGGAAGTTCTTAGGCCACCCTAGTGCTGCCTCAGGTCCCATCCTTGCCTCAGGGCTCCCCTAGGCCTTGCCAGTACAGAGAAGGAACCCAATTTTTTTCTCTTTTAATCCATTTCAGGGCTCTCCAGGAGGCATTGGGGTGTGTTATTTCTTTATTCAGAGAGCTCCAGCTGGGATAGGGGAGAGTAGGCTTTGTTGTGAGAATGGCCTGGAGCAGGCCCATTGCTGCTTTTGGGGGGTCAGCATCCAGTGTGAGATACTGTGTATATAAACTATATATAATGTATATAAACTGGGATGTAAGTTTGTGTAAATTAATGGTTTATTCTTTGCAAATAAAGCGCTTTCCCCCTCCTGTTCTTGAAATCAGTTTGAGCACTTCCTATGGGCTAGGTGCTTCTTTGCAAATTATGCCACTCATGAGCTAGAGAAGGGACCAAGGCACTCATTTCAGAGGGAACAAAAGAAAGAACATAGTCTGAATTTCCTGTCAGGAGCATCCCACATCCTCTCTGTGCTCCAAACCACATGCCCCCATCCCTATCACCCTAGATCTACTGGAACCATATTCCTGGGAGGCTAGATGTCCTGTCAAAAGGAATATTGTCCTGGGGCAAGGACACCAGCATGTGAGACTAACAGATATTTCAGGCCTTGACCCAAAACAACTTGGGGGAATCCAGCCTTCAGCTCATCATTAAGGTATCACCTCATTTTGTAGATGAGAAGAGCAATGCTCAAAGATTTTAAGCAGCTTGTGGAAGGCCACCCACCTAGTAGGTGTTTCAGCCTTGTCAGTTCCCAGTGCAGGACACTTTCCCCTCTACCTTGCTGCCTCTGCCTCTTGGTCCACGCTCTTCCTGTGGAGGCTTGTCCTAGGGAAAAGGCCCACTAGAAGAGGACCAGATAAGAGAACTCAGAAAAATGTAGCCCAAAACCCAAAAGCATTCAGGTCACTTTTCACAACCCAATGTAGCCTTTGTCTCCAATGTGTAGATGGAGAATGTGACATGTAAGCACAGAAGTCCAGGTTGATCTGTAGTGGCCAGCTGTGCATAGGCCATATGTTGGAACCCAAGATGGTCCTCTGGCTGCCTTAAAGGGGATTTTTTGATTATTTGTTTGTTTTGTTTTGAAAGGGAAAATAGTTACAGGAAACCTGGAGACTATTTCAAAACATCATGGGGTATAACTCAGTGGTAGAGCACATCCTTAGCATGTACAAGGTTCTGGGTTCCATCCCCAACACCCAAACAAAACAAAAGCACCTTGTGATAACTCAGGGAGCACATAATCCCTGGCACAAGAAGTACCAGAGAAAGCAAAAAAGTGGAAGCATTTTTTGCCACACCATGTGTAAATCATCACATGAGGCAGGCACCCAGGACAAAATGTGTGTCACACTATATATAGGGTATTCTAGACCAAATTGAAAAATTCAATGCAGGTAAATCATTGGACCAAAAGGTGTTCCACTCAACAGGGATAGAACAAGGGCCCTGTGGACCAAATTTTGTTACCTGTCATTGCAGTATCCACTGGGCCAAGAGTCTGAGAGACTTGCTACTTGGAAGGAAAGTACTCTATGGCTACTGGAAAACAGGTACTCAAAGGACAGAGTCATAGGTCCAGGCAAGTACACTCAAGTTGTTAAAGGAAAGATGACAAATAAGGCCTGAGCTTGAAGCATTCTACTATAGCTTTATGAGATGGAAAACAAGTATGTATAAGAGTGGCAGTTGGTAGCCATTTCTTAAACTTTCAATACAAGATCATACACTATTAAATTTCTTTTAAAATTGAGATGATATGAAATTGAGGGCATTGTTAACTCAAGGACAGGAAATGGTTGGAGAATAATCTGGTATAGCTCTCCAGTTTATAAAGTTCAGTCACATCCAGTATCGTTTGCTCTTCCCAACCTTTGAGGTAGGTAGGGGAGGGATTATTGGTCCCATTTTACAGATAAAACTGAGGCTCAGAGGAGACTGTCCTCAAGGTCACATGGCTTGAAGGTAGTAAAGCCTAAACTCAAAGCCCACTGGCTCTTAAGGCACCCGGTCCTACAAGAGGCTGACGCAAAAAGATGGGGCTGTTGAAGATTTCAAGAAGGATAGACTTGAGCTGGGACCCTACAGCACTCCAAACAGACTAGTTGGGGCTCACGTAATATCAGAAGATGGGCTTTTTATTGTGTCCATTGTTTTCCTCAATTCAGATGCCTTCTAAGGGAGCCTTCAGGGCACCTTTACCCTAGGGCATCCCTGCCTCTTGGAGCTAACTCCCCATGGCCCTCAGGGGAAATCAAAGAGCTAAAAGGAGAAAGATTGAAGTGGAAGGACCAGTACAGAGAACACCCCCATGGACAACCCCTCCCCCCAACGAGGACTGATCAAATCGAGAGCAGGAGTCGGATAGGAGACTTTCAACCTCCCGTTTTCACAGGTTTCACACCTTCCAACCACACTGCGAGGCTGCTGGGATGTCTGTCAAACTACCACCAGCTCCTGAGTCTCTGAGATGCCAAACTTGGTCTTATGCTGGTCAAACAGTTTGCGTAGGGCGTCAATATAGAGTGCGTGGTATTTAGCCACAATGTCCTTGCTCGGATTCTCAATCTTGGGCAGTGCTAGAGGCTCCCCGACTGCCAGGGGAGACAGAAGAGGGAACAGGAAAAGTATCAGAATGGCTCATTCCTCAGAATAGGTGCCCTAGGCCTCAAGCCCAGCTTCTCCCCACCCTTGCCCCCAACTTGCCACACATCCTAGCCAGCCTCCCTGTCTCTGAGCACAGCCAGAGCCAAAGCTCCCCTCAGAACTGGATCCTGCATCCTCGACTGATGCTGCCAATAGAAAGGGATACTCACCAACGGTGGTTAGAGTCTGGGCATGGGGCAAAAGGCCCCAGGAATTCTTGGTGAAGCCACGCCCATAGAAAGCACAAGGGTAGATATGTACTACACGCTGGAACCAATTCTGAAAGCGGTTGACCAAGCCCCCAGGAGTAAAAATGTGCTGATTGTAGAGGTCTGTCTCTCCAAAGACATAGGCAGGGATTAGAGCCACCCTGAAAGGAAAAAGCATCTTCTTTAATGCCCAAAAAGTTAGGGATCTTACTGAAGGCAGTCCCTCAGTCTGTCTGCAGGCCTCCCCAGATCTCAGTCCAGCTACACCTAGGTCCAGGCTGAGTGTAGGGGCTCCATGGCCTAGCCCAGGCTTCCCATGGAGGCAAAGCAGCAGCAACCTCAAGGAAGCAAGCCCAGGTACTCCTGGGAACCCCCTAGTCTGAATTTCCATAAAACCCAAGGGCCATTTCATTCAGCTTCCTTCCCTTTACCTTACATGATAAGCTTGCTCTCTCTGAGCTGGGGTTTCAGCCTGACCCCTTTTCAAGAGGGACTGGCCCAGATGAGAGGCTAATGTGAGGGAGAACAGGCTGAGGGCTGGCCATCTACCCTTTCTCTGTATGCAGAAACGCCTCCAGGACTTGGCTGTTGCTCTACTCCAACTTGGACACAAGGTTGCTTTTTTGTTTCAATGACAAATACAAATTGTATATGTTTTTATGGCCCTGGTTAGTAACAGTAAATTGTATATTCCCACCTCCCTCTTTAGATACCACTTCCTCAGCACCCTTCCCTCTTTCCCCATTGGGCTTTTGGATCCCCACCACCCCTGCTTCTGGACTGGAGCTGTCCTTACCCATGCCGAAGGGCCACGCGCACAAAACCACACCGGTTCTTCAAGACCAGGGTGGAAGAGCCTGGCAGGCTGTATCTGCACTCAGCCAGGCCACCAACCACCACAATGAGCATGTTGCCTGTGCCTTTCTGGGTAAGTAGAAAGTCCATGGAGGATTGGCTCACAGAGCAGGCCCCTGGCAGGCAGAAAAAGTCAAGAGGTCTTTGGCCATGTTCCAATCCCCCAAACATCCCCCCTCCATCTGTCTTTAAGGGAGGGGAAGAGCTAGAAGCCTCCTTTTAGGCCAGCCTAGTGTAGCTGTTCAGGATCAGAGGATCATGGAGTTGGCCTTGCTCTCACCCATCTCCCCATTTTTTTCTTTTTGACCTTATGCCCTAGAATCCAACTCACCTGTAGACATTATGTATTCTCTGAGGAAAGGCACCCAGAAAAAGGCTCCCAGGGTGAGAATATAAGGGGTGATGCCAGGAAACATCTTGGTGAAGTTTTTATTGTCGGTGGCAAAGTTACCAAAACATGCATGGGACATGAGCCCATGAGGGTGGCAGGCAAGGATGTAGTTGTGGCTGGGGGAAATATCATGAGTCTTCAAAAGCTGTAGAGGAAAGTGGAATCAGGAGAGCTACAGCCAGGGCAGTGGCCTCCTGTTGGCCAGAGACCTGGAAGGAAAGGGCTTCTGGGAATGGCTATGTAGGTTGGGCAATGTACAACCCCAGCAGGCATCACTCTCATAGGCCCCGATATGGATGGTACCCACCACCACAACTGACCCAGCTGCTGACCCTGGAATTGGCACTGGCCTGGGGTCCCACTGGGGCTCTGGGGCTACTCACCTTGATGGGGAAGTAATTGCAATAGTGTTTCCACAGGCACCACTTTCTCACACAGGCAAACCGGCGACCACCTGAAAACAGAAGCAATGTAGCACAGCTTTGTCCGCCCCACTGTCCTCTTCCCTTGCCACAGGGTACTCTTATCTGCTGCTGGCTTCTTAAAAGTGACAACCTGGGTAAGCATGTCAGGGCCAATTTAGGACAGGCTGAGCTTCTGTTTCATGAGCTTCCCCTTCCCTAACCCACTCCAGTTCTAACTGGGGCATTTTCTGACACCTTAAAAGGAACCCTTCCCTCAGCCTCTCTAGCCCAGGGAGAGACAGGCTGAAGGGCTGCCAGGGAATTGGCCAAAGACTCTCAGGATTAGGAGAGAAGAGGGAAGTGTATGTGGTACATGGCAACACAGTTGCACAGGGCCCTTACCTCTCTCAGGGGTCTTCCAGTCAAAAGCCAGCCAGGTAAGAATGAGCACAGTGACAGGCCAATATGGTGTGAACACCACCAGGTAGAGGTTGATGAGGACCACAGTGATCACTGGAGGGAGCCCAGCCCAGAAATAATGAGTTGTGAACAGTCCCGCACACTTACCCTCCCTCCCAAGTTCTGTCCACCAAAGTCACGCATACTCTCACCCAGGACCACTCAACCCTCACTCCCTCACCCTAGTACATGGTTTGCATGCTCAGGTCCCCAATCCCCTTCTGCTCTCTGACATTGGGAACCTGATTCAAGTCTAGAAGTCAAGGAGTTTTCCTT